GGGGGGGAAGGTGGGACATAGCAGAGGGTGGGGGATGGGGAATCAGGGATGGCAAGACAAAGGGCAAGGTATGCAGGACGTAAGAATTGGAAAATTATTTGCTGAGAACATATATGTGGATGTACTTGATTGAGACAATGCACAGTGTATTTTGGATGGAAAATTCATTTGTGTGTTGTGATGGTGTAAAGTGAATTAATAAATAAAAACAAACAAACAAACAAAAAAATCTCATTAGAAGATCAGAACAAAATAAATAAAATAGAAAATTAAATAAAAAATAATAATGATGAGTACTACTTGTCCTCATAAGGATACTGAAAATGGCCATGTAAATGGAAATGCTAAGAGGTACAAAGTTTTGGGAGAACAATTTTGCAACAGATATCAAAAGTCTTAAAAAGGAGAATGCAGGTGCCAGCAGATGACATGGTGGTTAAGGCACTGGACTCCCACATGGTCAACCATGGTTCAAGTCCCAGACCTGGCGGCTTGCTTTCTCACTTTCTGTCTCTCTCTTGTCACTGCACATGCCCTATAGCAAATTTAAATAATAATAAAAGTAAATAAAATTAAATAAATAATTCTTAAAATGGGGTGGGGGGGAAATGCCTTTAACTCAGCATTCCCAATTATAGGAACTGAGTCTAAATAAATCAAATTCAACAATATATATCTGTAAAATATTATTAAAGCATTGGTTATGATATTGAAAATGAGAAATAAAAGACAGTATGTTCATAATAGATCTCTAAGTAATTATGGTACACCCGTTTAATAAAATATACAGCATTAAAATGATACTGATTTACATGGATATCAACTTGGAAATCTATCACATGTCATCTGTTAAGTGGCTTATAAAGAACCCTACTGTTTATATGTATGGGTGCAGAAAATCTATTTAAGTGTTAACAATTTTCTCTATGGGCACAGAGATCATGGACAATCTACAACGTTCTCACAGAAATTCTACCTGTTAACTATAGAAAGGAAGTAGTCAGCACGGTTCATCGACATCTTCCTGGAAGATGGCCCTAAGTAGACTTTCTATGGACAACACTTGAGCCAGAAAATAGGGAAGACTCAGTGATCCTGGAGGTGATGCTCTGTTATTACTCCTTTAAAATCTCTTCTGTCTCAGACACAAGCTATTCCAAACATGCATTTTATCCAAAAAAAAATTGGACAAATCACCAAACTAATTACAATTTCTTTCCCTTGCTTCAAAGTCAGTCATCCTTACAAGACGCACTGAACTATCATGATGATGCCACCCCATAACAGCTGCTGGGAGCTGACAAGTCTGCTTGCCTCACCATAGAAAGGGTCAAGGCTGCTTGTGTTTTTAAGGTCTTACTGCACAGCAAAATTTCCATCTCCATCAATCCAGGTATATTCTGGACTTCCAGTCTGCTTGTATGCCTGAGACATTCAATCAACAAAGCTGTGATAAGTGCCTGCTATATGCACAACACTATGCTTGGTGCTTGGCATAGAAGACAAAGTCCATGCTCTCATGGAACCATTTTCTTGTGGAAGAGAAACACAGAATAGAGGCCAGCAGGTGGTGCAGAGGTTAGCACGCTGAACTCCCACATGGCTGACTACAGTTTGAGTCCCAGACCTGGCAGCTTGCTTTCTCACTTTCCATCTCTCTCTGTCTCTGTCTCTCTCTGGTGAGTGCATGTGTCTTGTAACAAATTAAAAACAATAATAATAATAATGATGATAAGTAAAATATTAAAAAAAAAAAAGTACAGAATGCCTAAGGGTTTGATAAGAAAGGCAAGAGGTCTCTTCTGGGAGGAGATATTCAAAGAGTATGTTCTAGACCATGGAGCATCTGAGAACTTTGGAGGGTACACAGGAATCAAGGAGCCAAAGAGGGTGGGGCTAAGAGAAGGGTATCAAACTGAGGGCAAGATGTTGGATTCTGTGCCATTTTGACTAAACAGCAGACAAGTTTGCTTCTTTCCTGATACTGGCTATGCTCTACAGGCCACAGTAAGATTGCTGGGTAAATGAAAGTATTAGGGTACAAATGAAATTCAAAGAGTGGTAAATTTCTGCCAGCTATAGAGTACCACAATACTAACAAAGGCATCATCCTAAGTAATTTTTGAATTTTCTTTTCAAGTACTTACAAACATTTTTTTCATTCAGAATGAATTTACTTCTGGAACTTCCAAAATCATGTATAGAATGTATTGTTATTTCATGATCACCAGGTAAAAGAGCTGGAATTTTAATATTTGTTTTGTTTAATCGATAACAAGGATGAGACCTGCAATATAAAAAATCAAACTTTAATTAGCAGATAAAATAATGCAATTTTCATAAATACTTGTTTAACATAAAATATACTTGAAAATATACTTTGTATACAAAATTTTGATAAGTTTTACTGCATTTTTAGATAAGCAAAAAAGATAAGCTAATGGTAATTTTATCAATGTGGTAGTAAGAAAAATGAGTAAATTGTATGTAGAAAGTACAGTGGGTAAGCATAGATGATTCTTTCAAAAAACTTAAGAATTCTGCATGCCATTCAAATTCCACCTTGACCTTGCTTAGCAGCCTTATCTCCCCCACTATACCTATAGTCCCTGACCTGGAGCCCAGACCATCACACAGTTCCTCATGCTAAGATGCTGCTCATCGGATGCTAAGGAAAGAAATGAAACTCCTCTTATGGCCACTTCAAACACATATTCAACCTCCCTGCTCCTCTGCCTTGGCTCATGATTTACTTTGAACAAAACTTCCAGCTTCCCAGCCAGTATCTCTCAGACAAGGGTGAGATTTTCCTTTCTGCTTCCATAGGCCTTTGTATCTCGATACAGCATAATTACATTCTTTGTATTATTATTATGCATATTAATATAAATGTATATTATTATATACATTTCTTTCTTTCTTTGAATTTGCTATAGGGTGTGTGTGCTCACTGGAGAAGAGAGAAAGAAAGACCATGCTGCAATCCCTTCTCCACTCTCCTCTCAGTATTCTATGTTTGCACGTATGTGCACACATATACACACACACACATACACACACACATACACACACACACACACACACACACACGCCCAGAATGGTTCCCAAGCTGCTGGGTCTGAGACTCGCAACCCTGCAGTTGGCCATGTGAGATCCAGTTGACCTAAACACCACACAACCTGGCTCGCCCACTTCTAACTTCATATGAAGATTTCAACCTGTGTAAAGGGACTTCCTGTGCTATTATGCAACCTTACTCCAGCCAGCACCTAATACAGGGCTCGTTAGATTATTTGCTTTGGACTGAATACTGAATAGGTCTGGTTCACCTCTGGTCTTTTTCAGCTTCATATGGTGAGACTTCTTTTTGAACCAGTAACATGAAATCACCTGCATTCTTCAAATCATGCTATTTCAGATATTCCCATCATTGTACCTGATATTTATTCTGGCTGAAATGTCCTTCTGTCCTTCTGGTGAGAAAACTGAGTATGCATGCTTTACAACCACACCTCCTCTGAAAACATCTCTGCACCTCCATCTGCTCTGATCTCTGTCTCGTAGTCTTCACATATAACTTACATGTGAAGTTAGCACTTAACCCACAGCATTGTTATTAATTGTGATCTCCTGAATAACCAGGATCAACCTCCTCTCTGTAAGGCCTGTGGTGGGGCTCTGTGCTATTTACCAAAGCTTCCAGGTTCTCTCTCTGGACTTACAGTAGGGCTGTCCTTCCCTGCTCCTCTAAAGCAAAGCAGGTCATATCACTTTATAGCCAGAAAATGTACGTGATGGTCGTATCCGTCAGTGCAGAAGGGAAGCTCTGAGAACCAGTGCAGGCTGTCCCTTCTCCTTCCCCGGCCATCATGCCTCTTAATGCCTGGAAACCTAAGGGAACTCAGGTCAGAGATCCCAGCTGACCCCCAGTGGACACAAAATACAGGTAGAAAATAACCCTTTGTTTTCATTAGCAAAAAACAAGGTTTGAGGCTTGTTTATGCAACCCGCCCTGGCTCATCCTGGCTGATAAATTACTCGAATGTTTAGAATAATGCTCAATAAATAGACACTGAATGGGGTGGGAGGAATCTGTTCTTCAATACACATTTATGTTCATTATGTTAGGACCACTCAGCAGACTAGGCTGGGAGCGGCATGCTGGAAGTCCTGTGGCACTGCTAAGCCACTCAGCACCCTGCTGGGACTAGGGAAAAGCAGTGGGAACTGGTCAGGTATTCAGGCAGCTCAAAAGCCTTTACACAGCAGGCTTAGGAGCTTCTAGCATACTCCACTACTTGAGAGAGAAAATGGTGTGATGGAGTCTGTTTCCTGCCTCCTCGAAGTCCATTTTCCCTTTTTCCTTAATAACATGAACCCAGTGTTTATTGAGCACACTGCCATCCAGCCAAGAGAGCATATTTCTCAGTCCTCTGTGCAACAAGTTCTAGCCAGTGAGATGTGGGCAAAGGTGTTGTGTGAGATTTCTGGGAATATTCTTCAGAAGTAACTCTTCTTTTTCCTTCCTGATTCCTGGAAAGCAGACATGATAGCTGCTCCTCAAGCATCACTTTGAGAACACATGCTAAAGATGGCACAGCGGCACGACAAAGAGGGACCTGATCTCTGATGGCCAGCCCTGAACTGCCTACCTCCAGACCTTTCACAGGCAGGCAATGAAGGTCTGTTGAGCCGCTGTTGCTGACATTTTCTACTGGGCAGGGCCAAACTTCAACCAGTAAAACATCCCCCATCGGATCAGCACATTGGAGGTGTGTGCCATACTTGCTACACACATAGCAAAAGAAAGTTTCGGCTAGGAAAGGAGTTTGTTCCCATCTTGACAGATGTTACAACTTGGAATTTTTCAGAAACAGAGAATTGAGGGTATTGCATTTAAAAATTTACACACACACACACACACACACACACACACAAAATCTTTACATTCTGAAATTAAAGATAAAGAAATTCTAGGCTGTAACTGTGAATAAGTCAGAATATTTGTATTACCTGCTTTCAATGCAAATGTCATAAACAGTACCCTGGCCTGCTCCAGAGGGTGCTTTCCAAGAACAGTCCCACACTTGCAAGTTGTTAGTGATACACTTCAAGTCATGAGGAGCCCCTGCAGAGGGAGAAACACACACCATTTTAAGCTACCTTTGAAAGAAAATGCATGGAAAGGAAAAGGGTACAAGAGATGAAAAATACAGAAGAAAAGAAAGAAGGATGGAGGAAAGGAAGGGAAAAAATAACCATAGTGTTACAAAAGTATTCTATCTCAGACCATAAATACCTATGAAAGTTTTTTATTTTCTTGGTATGCAATGTAGCAATAAATTGTAAAGCTATTTATATAAAATAGAAAACAAACATGACATTAGAAGCATTCACATTAGAAATCATCAGTAATCATAATAACGTTACTTCTTTAATCAATGGCCTCTGGAAAAAAAGAAGATTCACTTAATTATACAATAACATAAAAATGGGGCCAGCAGGTAGTGTGGTGGTTAAGGCACTGAACTCTCACATGGCCGACCATGGTTTGAGTCCCAGACCTGGTGGCTCACTTTCTCACTTTCCCTCTCTCTCTCTCTCTCGCTCTCGCTCTCGCTGTCTCTCTCTGGTCAAATTTTAAAAATGATAATGAATAAAATTAAATAATTTTTCTTAAAAAAAGGAAATAGCATAAAAACAAAACCAAGGGGCAGCAGGATGATAATGTTCTTTAAAGAAATAAGCTAGGTAGATGTGTATATTTCAATTATGTGATGTTCTAAAAGGTACAATTATAGAGCCAGTGAACAAAGTGATGCTGGGCCTGGAGAGGATGCCTGCAGAGGAGCACAGAGATTCCCTGGATGCTGGGACTGTCCCCGATATGCTGATTGTGCTGGTGGTTACATGAGTGCATGCACTTGCCAAAACTCAGAACTATATTCAAAACATGTAATTTTTTAAATGTTTACTTCTTTCATGACAGAAAGAGTAAGACAGAGACAGACAGCTAAAAAGACAAGCACCCTGAACAGGGTCTCACAGCACAATCTCCCCCCAACTCTTCCCAGATAGCAAGTCTCTGTACATGTGCACCTGGCAAACCGAGGAACCAAACCCCAACCCTCCATATGACCACCAACATGATGCTACCACTGGGTCACTGCAGATGGCCTAAAAGGCAAATTTTATTGCATGTAAATTATATCTTATTGTTTTAAAATGGTAAAAAAAAATTATTTTGATCTACTTTTAAGGGCCTTTATAAAATAAAGTAAAAGGGCACAGAAAAAAAAAATTACAGAGAAATGGATTTTAGTCACTCCGAACCTGAAGTGTTCAATAAAGAAATAAGATTGCTTCATAATCAAAACAGTCATAAAATTGCAAGGTGTTCATTCTCTAGAAGTCTGACGCACTTACCCTTTTTTTGGCTATTTACTTGATTCACTAGACACAGAAGAATCAATGCTGATAAGAGCCACAGGAAACCTGAAGTAGTTCTCATTCTTTTATCGTCCACCATTGCGGATGGTCGCCTCCAACACAAGGAGATACCCATCATCCATGCGATGTAGTCAGTCCTAGATTAGAAGAGGGACTTCAAATGGTGCTCAAACTGCTCTAAAGACACACCTTCCACTGACACACAAACAGTAAAAGTGGGGACTGGTGGATATTAAAACATACTGTATATTAATAACCTCAGAGATGCTCAAGCTCAAGCTGCCCTGGCTTAAGAAGACACAACCTCTGGATATAGCTGTTGCTTCTGGTATGTAGTTAAGGGCTAATTTTCACATGATGGGCTTCGAGTTCAAGATTATAACTGAGTACCTGTTTATGAACTCTTTACGCCACTACTACTACAATATAACAAAACGTTCACAGAAAATAAATGACAATAGTTCGTTTTGTTGTGAAATCTACTATACTTTGTTCATAGCATTTTCTATGAACTTTCTGAAGCCCCCCCAAAGAAAAGCAGTACATAAAATTGAAGTTTTAACCATTTTAAATGATACACACAGTTCATTTTAATTAATTCATATTAACTTCAACCATCACTTACTTATGACAAGTAATACTGGTTTTCTTTCTCATTTATATTATGATAAAAAGTTCCTATTTTATATAAATTTAAATTCAAGTATTTTTTTAAATAGGATAATGTAAGGGATTTGTAAATATGACTAAAATATTGACAATTACACACAATAGTTGAATTTTAACAAACACTACAACTCTGAAGAGCAAGGGGCCCCTGGGAAATCAGACTGTAACATGTTTCTGCCAAAAACTGAGAGCACACCGAAGAGCCAAGACCGATGCCCTCAGGTGCTGGGAGGACTGCAACAGAGGAAGGTGCTGTGTGGGTGAACAGCCCTTGGGATGCCCGCCAGCAAGTCGTTCGAGACAGTTGACCACTAAATGCCTTGTCCTCCTCTAAGCACCACAGGCTCAGCAAAGAATGGAGCAAAGTCTCTGTCTGCAGGAGCTTAGACTCTAATTCAGAGACAAACACATAAGCAAGTGAGACATTGCAGATCTTGATGAGCACTTTAACAACTATGGAAAGGCAAATGCTTGAGTGTGTGTGAGAGGTGAAAGTCTGTTTCTGAGGTGAGACTGCCTGTGGAGAAAGACTGCCACTCAAGATGGCACGAGTACTCCAAACAGCGGCCAAACTAAGGGCATGTTTGGCCCCCTTAGTTTCAAAGCACAGGAAGAGGAGACAAGGAGACAAGGCAGAGCGGGGGCTGGTCAGGACACAGAGGGCCTCACCGCCACTGTAATGATGGGGAGTTTAATGTGGTTCAGATCATAAGCTACTAGAATGTTTTAATCAGGAGAGCCACAGTTTCATTCGTACCTTCCAGACTTCTCTGGCTGCTGGGTGGCAGACAGCCTCTGGGGGAGGAGAGAAGGAGCAGAGAAACCACGGTCCAGATGAGATCACAGTGCAAGGACAAGGCTCTCAGAAGTGGCAGGAGGCAGTAAGGTTCAGGAACTATTCTAGAGATGAAGGGTCTTACGGATGCATTGCATGGGTACAGAGTAGTGGTTAAAAAGTGTCTGGGCATGAATCCCAGCTGTGATTCTATACCTGCACTATGACATTTAACATGTGACCTTAACCTGTCACAGTTTCCTCATCTGTAAAGGAGGGATGATTTTCCTCATAAGTTTGTTGTGAAGATCAAGTAAATATGCATAAAGCATGTGGAATAAAGTCAAGCATGCAAAAGCTATCTGTGTATGTTTTGCACTGTGTGAAATGCAGGAAGAAGAAAGGAAACAATAGCGACTATACGTGGTGGCTAAACGACAATAGATAGATTGTGGTGCTACTGAAATCCTTTCTCGGTGGCATGAAGAAGGGGGCAGTAAGGGGCTGAAATTTAAAAATTTGAAGACTTGTTTACAAAAGTCAACTTTAGTGTGTTCCTACTCCCCCATTCAAGAGATCTTCTCCCTTTAGAACTTAAAAGAATTGTCTCAGGAGAACACATGCATGGCAGATAACATATGTGTGGGTGCCAAAGAAAAATGCTTTCTATACTGGATACCTAAGAATTCCCCAGAGCAATAAAATTCCCCATTAACTCATTGTCCACTCTTCCTAGATTAATACTTGATGGTTGACATGACTTTCCAATATACTGAAAACTCCCTGTCAGACCTAATATTGCTAATTTTTACATTGGAACACACAGCCAAGACTAATGAACATATAATCAAAACCTAATATATTAAGGAGAAATCAGAATAAATAGAACCAAAAAGAAAAAGAATTATTCCCAGAGGAAATAGATAACATAGAGCAAATAGGAAAACTTTAAAAAGAAAAACATCCCAAAGAGCAAACATGACACATCCATTAGAAAAAGATACAATAAAAAAAATCAGAAATAAAAATGGATCTTATAAGTTAAATACATTAGCTGGTATTAAAAATTAAAATAAGAAAGCTAAAATATTGAGCAAGCTTTCAGGAAAAAAAAAAAAGACAAAAATAGAAAATGTGAGATGAGAAACACTTGATAGAAGAAAGAAGATCCAACATCTAAATAACTGGAGCCATAGGAGAGAATTGGAAAAAATCTTCTTAGTGGAAATAGATGGCATGATCTCTTCTTGGCTATTGTTCAGTGAGTACTGTCAACAAACTAGGAAATTAATCTCAACTAACTTAAATAATTCCAGCCAAAACATACACAAGGCACATGCACACATTTCAAAAATGTTCAATTATTTTCTGGATGGATGAATAACTTCTTAGTCGATTCTAGTGTCATCGAGCTTACTTATCAGAAATATAAATGTATTCATGATAACATAGAGCAAATAGGAAAACTTTAAAAAGAAAAACATCCCAAAGAGCAAACATGACACATCCATTAGAAAAAGATACAATAAAAAAAATCAGAAATAAAAATGGATCTTATAAGTTAAATACATTAGCTGGTATTAAAAATTAAAATAAGAAAGCTAAAATATTGAGCAAGCTTTGAAAAAAAAAAAAAGACAAAAATAGAAAATGTGAGATGAGAAACACTTGATAGAAGAAAGAAGATCCAACATCTAAATAACTGGAGCCATAGGAGAGAATTGGAAAAAATCTTCTTAGTGGAAATAGATGGCATGATCTCTTCTTGGCTATTGTTCAGTGAGTACTGTCAACAAACTAGGAAATTAATCTCAACTAACTTAAATAATTCCAGCCAAAACATACACAAGGCACATGCACACATTTCAAAAATGTTCAATTATTTTCTGGATGGATGAATAACTTCTTAGTCGATTCTAGTGTCATCGAGCTTACTTATCAGAAATATAAATGTATTCATGGAATTTGTAAGTCCCTGGTTGCTTAAGTTATAGAATGACACAGCTCTACAGGAATAACTGAATAAGGGAGACCAAACATGACCCTGCAAACTCAAACTCTTAACTAAAATGATCACAAACTATATTCACTGCCTGGCTAAACATTATTTTGAAATGAAATATTTGCCCATTACAAATTTACTATTCTAGACAAAAAAGATGCATACCTCACTGCCATGCCAGGAAGAAGTGGCAAGAGAGGGCTGTGAGGAGGCAGCCAAGGAAGGTTCTGGACCAGGTGCTGCCAGACGCAGACTCTAATCTTGGCTCCATTACTGATTAAAGGTATGACTGAGGATAAATCACTTAATCCCTCCTGGCTTCAGCCTCAACTATTGTAGCACAGAAGCAAGGGCAATTCAGGATTCATGAAAGAGACTTCCCAGAGTTAAGCTGTAATATTCCATTGCTGTTGGCAGGGAACAAGCATGCAGATGGTAGCTAGCTAGTACATAGTTAGTGCCAACAACATCCACGGATCAAGGACTCTGAGGAGGGAGCTGCAGGATGGAGGTGCTCAAGAATAGAAGACTCATAGCAGTGTCACCAAAGCCTGCTTCACTTAAAATAGGCAGGATAATAAAGAAGACTTTAGTTGTCATAACACTTACACAGAAATTTTGAGCAAGCCATCCGAGCACATAATGTTATGTTTATGGCAAATACAACTTCTCTACCAAGCAACACTTTTGAGTGGACTTATCTGAGGGCAGGAACAATACATGAACAGATCCTTCCATAGTATGTTCAGAGGGAGAAAAAAAGAACACTGTGAAATTTTTCTGGGCTCACTTCTGATGGAAACATTGTCAGAATTTACTTTTTTCTCACCAAGGTCTTATTCCATGAAGGAGAACAAAGACAATTCCAGGAACCAACTTTCAAAAACGAATGCATCAAGAGGGAGCAAGTGCAAATACCTAGGGGGCAATACAGGTACCAAGTGTGTACACAGGCAGATGCAAACAGGAATCCACCTGCCTAGTCTAAAGGTGGTACCTCTGACCTCATTTTGCCAAATTTTACGATTTTTCAAGACAAGATAGAAATCTAGAATTGATATGAAACACTCAGATTTGTAAACGTAAATAACTAACGCCTACTTCTTAAACATTCTAAAGACCAAACAAAATACACCTCAAACTGTATCCTGCCTGAGAGCCACTAGTTTGTTTCCTATGCAATACTATTTTAAAGAATGCAAAAATATTAATGAACATTTCTGCTTTACAAAGTGATTGGACAAAATCAGTTTATAAAATTGTTGAATTTGGTGGGGGCTGGACAGGGGAGCAGTGGTACAACAGGACACTCTGTGAAGCTGATCCACACAAGAAGGTTCTGGTGGGCATGCACATGCCCACCGTCCAGTCCAGGCTGATCTGGGGCTGGCTGAAGCTGGGGGTGGCTCATGGCATGAGGACCCTGTCAGGGGGCTATCCTTCTGTCTCTGTCTCCCTGACTCAAGGGGTAAACAGACTTTAAAAATGTTTTAAACTGTTAAATGGGAAGAGAAGACTATTTTTGTTCCTCTCATACCTGCTGACCTCAGTACGAGGATATCATGAAACATAAGCAGAACTGAATCTGGGGCCCTAGTGGCACAGCTTCAGTTCTGTGAGCAATGTGACCCCGAAGCTGTAAGTCTTCTCTTATAAAAATGGAGTGTTTACACATGTCCTCTGACTTGCTT